GATTTAGTTAATTAAATTGCTAACATAAACGATTTCGTCCTCTAGTAGATCTAATCCTAGCTTGCACCGCATTTTATATGGGATAACCTTTATCCACCGGAAAAAATAATGACTTCGTTTCGTCTTTGAAACCTGGATATAATAATATAATGATAAGAAACTTGACTTTTAAATTTAGGAACTTAAAATAAAAAGGTAATCTGTTTACCTGTTTCTTTGCTCTACCCTTCAGATTTTCCCATGCTTTTTTAAGCTGGTCACCAGACATTTGCGTCACGTTCAAGTGCGAGCAGAACTCCAAACTGACTTTCTGCCATGCTTCAGTTTTTTGTGCTGTCCACACACGATTGATCTCCTTATTTTCCACGATCGACTTTATTTCAGGCTTGGAAACTACTTGAAGAAGAATTTCTTTTTCATGTGGTGTAATTGGAGGGAGTTTACTACGTACATGGGTTTCAAACTCTTGGTCAGTATCGGATTTATCCGATGGTGACATTTTGAATATTTAAGAATTTAAACTGCTAAAAACTAGTATAAAAAATATACACCAGAAAACTCCACTCTCAGCTGGACACTCACACTCACAAAAACTCCACTCTTACGAGTGGAGGTTGAATTTCATTGGGAATACCAAGTGGGTTGAGTGGAGAATCGACACTCACACTCAGCAAAGTGTGAGTGAGAGTGGCGATTTTTTCGTAATTCAGAATACGGCTGTAAGTGTACAATAAGGTTGACAAACCTTGCTCAATTCAATGGAATATCGTCGTTGTTCGTGCAAAAGTTCGTTTTCAGCCTCACGGAATTTTACACACAGAAAATATGCGTTGATTCCGTACACAAAATTCTGTGAGGTTAAAAACGAGCAGACAACTTTTGCACCAACAACGACGATATTACGCGATATTACATAAATTCCACTGCAGAAATATTGCAGAACCCATAAAACTTCAATTAACCAACTACCTCGCCTACATCGAAGCTAAGCACGATCCACCCATCATATTTTTGGGTAAGGTAAGTGAGCTATGCACATCAAGAAACGCCCGATGACCTTGAACAGATCAGTGTGACATTTATTCCGAAAGCAGGAAATTATATGTCACACGGAAAATGTTGCACAATTTCTCCGGAAAACTTTCCACTGGGTGCATACCTGTTCAAAAGAAATTTACTCACTCAAAATTCACTCACTCTGAGTTTTGAGTTGAGCCATTCACTCAAAATTCATTCACTCCATTTTTCTGAATGACTCACTCACTTTTATTCACTCATTTTCTGCACATTCACCACTCATTGAATGAATTTATTCATTCGCCCCATGTATTAAGCATGGAGCGAAAAGTGAAGGAGTGAAAAACTTGGTCCTTCATGCTTTATTCGGCAGGAGTGAAGAAATATTCACTCACTCTTCACTCACTTCGACTTGGTGCAGCGAGTTCTTCACTCACCACTCACTCATTGAGTGAATTATTCCTTCACTCTCTCTTCATTTCGCCTTCTTGGAGTGAGTGTGAACAGGTATGACTGGGTGCCGTTAATTTATGGGACTCAGGCCTCACGGCCAGTTTGTACGAGAGGATGGGACATATGTAAGTCGGCTGGAGAGGATTTCTACCAGCGATTATTGGCCGGATATAGATTGCAGTAAGGGTTTCCTTGCATGGCAAGTTGAAGTAGCAATGAGCGGTTTTATATACGATTTTCAGAATCGCGTCACAACTGACCTAAATAAATGCATAAATGTGTAACTAAATATGTACGGCAAATAATACGTACGTTGTTAAAATTTGTACATACCATTTAGAATTAAATAGGTAAATAGATAGGTTCAAATTATGGAGAAGGAATGGCAAATCCTGTCTCTCCTAATGGGGTATTCATCATATATAGATATGTATGTAAATGCACACACTCTTAAAAATCCGGTAGAGTCACATATGTACTCCGCTGTGGTAAAGATTTGGTAATGATTGGTTACTGCCTACGTATTAATTCAACACACGCCAGTAAGGATTTCATTGCCATTCTATTACTAAGCGGCAATGATTGTTATTACCAGCCCGGTAGAGTCACATATGTACTCCACTCGGTAATTATTTATTACAATTTTCTTAAGAGTGCACATACATAATGATGATCAATTCCCACTACTAGATTGGTAAATTGTCAAAGAAACGTCTCAGGACTTTATTTTGAGGAGATAAAAATACATACGTATGTAGAAATGCAGTAGAAAATGTAAGTGTCGCTCTTATTTAAAAAACATTGTGTAGCCCACTTACATATTTACATAAGTCGTAACTACGTAGACATGTTCGCATCATATTCTATCTACATATTTACTAAACAGTAATTTATGAAATTTCAAATTATTTAAAAATTGGCAGTTTTTTAAGTAAAATAAATATGTAATGCAATCTCATGCCACATTTTTCATAAAAGTTATCAAAGTGACATTAACCACCACAAAGTACGTTAACAATGGATTCATTGATTCTAAATGTGCAATTTTATAACCATTGCATCGTAAATAGCAGTATGGATTTGATCTTCATAAATAGACACAGCATGGTATACAAACAGACATAAGGACATGACTTGTTCCTCACTGAAGGTACATAAAGTCACACCTTACCATAGGCAATCCTGTTTACGTTACATACATACCTGCATGCATGCATGTAACTTACATCAGAGTTGTATTCATTACTTGAAAATGTAATTCAATTACTAATTACCAATTACTTGCACATGTAATTAAATTCTAATTACTCATTACTCATTAAATGGGTCAAGTAATTCAAGTTTAATTACAATTTTAATTACTTGAGAATTTTGTAATTAACTTTTCATTACTAATTACCTACAAATGTAATCGATTACTAATTACAATTTTAATTACATTTAAGAGAATTTTTTACAACAAACGATAAATTGTAATTTATATAAAAGTTGAGATCTAAGTAAACAACGAGTGCGAAGAGCAGGTCTAACAAAACTGCCATCAAAATCCGTGAAATCCGCTCAGTAGCTAATTTTTATGGAGTGTGAAAGGTGGCAGCTCGGATGGTATGTAATTGATTACTTGAGATGTAATCGATTACAATTTTTACATTACAATTACTATCGTAATTAAAATCTAATTACTCATTACATTTCATATGCTACAAGTAATTAAGCTTAATTACTCATTATTCATTACTTGGAAACGTGTAATTAAATTTAATTACTCATTACTAATTACTCGAGAATGTGTAATTAACTAGTAATTGATTACTTGAAGTAATCGATTACACAACTCTGACTTACATGCATAAATACGTTTACAGTAAACGTATGTATTTATGCATGTATGCACATACATACATACGTTACCTAATCATCATCCTTTCTGTATATGTACAAACAAGACAATAGTGCAAAACAAGTAAAGTAACATCAACCTGCGTCACTTTTAACTGGTAGTGACGGATTACGTTATTACAACGAATATGGAAACATGATATTCTCAAAGATTTGCATAGTTTACTGGTTAGTTGAGGTACATATGTAAATAGCTATTGATTGCGGAAGAATTGCTATCTTTGCAAATCCCATCCATCTCTGTATCATTTCAGTTGAAGCACCAATAGATAAACATTACATAGACTTTATAGAAATCTCGCAAAATTTTGTCACGAAGAAAATCAGGTAATTTACTTACATTCTTCATTCAGCTGTATCTTTAATTTAAAAAGCATAGTTGGTTGCACATATTCTTAACTATGCGGTAGTTCATGTACATATTTACAAATAGAAATTGCTGATAACTATCCAAATACTCGTACATTGCGAAAGTATAGACATTTAATTTAGTCATGTCAAATTTGAATTAAAATTTAATAACGTTACAAATTCTTTGAATTTCAGACAAAAAAAATGAGAAACTTTCTCCTTGTCCTAATCGCCTTGGTAATTTCCGCCTCTGAAGGGCGTCGCTTCCTTAACCTTAAGTCGCGTAACTGTCTCGACAGCATTCAGGACGGACACACTTCTCTGGTCAATTGTACCGGTGAAAATTCTCAAAACTGGGAGCATCACCCCACCAACAAAACCATCGTTAATGTTGCGACGGGGAAATGTCTGGACACGAAAGACAACAAAGTCGTCGCCATTGGTTGTAATATATTGAAGAATCCCCTTGGAGATTCTCATCAGGAATGGAGAATCACAAAAACACTCGGCGTCATTCATTTAGAAACGGATCAATGCTTGGAAGACAAAAATGATGGCGATGTGTATTTATTGAAATGTAGTGGGAGCTGGTATCAAAAGTGGCAGAGTTAAATAATATGAACAAAGACAGTAAGATTAAGGGTTTATGTCGCGGTGGATAAATATTGTACATTCATTACATTATTTGACAAGGACATAGATACCAAAAACTTGAAATGAATGTACTCTGGATTATATATATTTATGTACATATTTATATATGTAGTTAGCCTTGGTATGTACATATGCTGTCGTTGTTGTGTTTAGTTCAAATACAATACAACTATTAAGGACAATTTTTGTTTTTAATTGTTTTTATTAATTACACTCTTAAAAATCCGGTAGCGTCACATATACTTATACACCGCTGTGGTAATGATTTGGTTACTGCCTTCGTTTTGATTCGATACTTGCCAGTAAGTATTTCATTCCCATTTCGTTACTCAGCGGTAATGATCTTTATTACCAACCCGGTAGAGTCACATATGTACTCCACATTGTTATTCAGTACATCATTTATTATTTTTTATTGTACATACACAAGTTTTCATAATTTTCATACAAGAGGCAATTGCCTCTTGTCGCGACCATCGTGTCGCCTCAGATTTCCAAGACCTTATGCAACTTCGTGATCCCTTATGCACTTTTGTCGCACAAGATAGAAATTAAACCCACATTATCGTCGCACATGGAATAGAACTTAATAGAAATAATGAAAATAATATGTCCAACTTTTCCCCTTCAACGATTAAAACCTCATCAGGCGTATAATTGTCGGCGGATTAACAGGTAAATTTTCTCGCAGTCTTGGTCATATAAGTACATAAAAATATATACTTATTTTTTATAACAATATTTTTGGAGTTTGAAAGATACAACTCATAAAATCAAAGTAAACCCTTTGTTGTAATTTTTATTTGTAAGTACATATTAAATTTAAGATGCTAAATAAATATTTACGTGGCAAATTTCAGAAAAATATCATTTAAATGAAAAAAAATCTGTGTATTTTATAATTAATATAAATACGTACATATGCACCTAATAAAAATATTTCTCGACAAGCCCTTCTCCCATTTCAATTGCATTATCAAGGGTTTCAAAGGAAAGCAGCGTCGTGGCATAGTAGAGTCCACCGATTCCTTGGAGAGCGTCGAATTCTTTGTAAAATCCATTCCGCAATGATTGGCCAGTCACGTGGGGGAAATATTCTGTCGCCAGGGTAAAAAGGGTTTGTGCAAAGGTGATGGATTTTTTTCAGGGTGGCGTTTAATTTTGCCGTCATAATTTGGATATCCTTCTCCTCAGCGGGAGCATCGTAGTGACCGTATATCCAGGTGTAGCCGAGGTAGCAAACCTCCTTTTTTGAAAAAATTATGAATTATGAACTTTTTCCTTATATTTGGATTTACCCCAAAATAAACTCGTCTAACCAACCAAATATACGTCACAAGACGTTTTGAAGCCGGGCAATTTGGAGAGATGAATTTCACTAAACTTGTTATTACTTCCACAGCAGGAGATTCCACGTGGAATATTTAATCCGTAAATATTCTGAAACATGTTTCCTTCTGACAGACACGATGAAATGATACCTAAATTCTCAATGGAATCAAGTGGACCCGGTGTAAAGAATTGTTGGATCCCCTGATTTCAATGAATCTATCGGACTTGGAAGCACACATATTTTCTAATCTGTTGTTGTTACCCGAAACTAAAATGCCAGTATCGATAAATTCCAGACCATTCAAAACATTGTGATCTCCACTTAGCAAAAAAGAAGTCATACCTTTCGCACGAATTTAATGTTGAAAATATCTGCGTCGTACCTGATCAAATGATAGAACGTTATCTGTTTAAGTGAATAGCAACGTGCTGGCCCTTGATGCATTGATAAGCGATATGACCTACTCTCTTCTACGCGCATTTGTTTACACACAATAAGGAAGTGACCAATAAATAAATAACCCCAATACCATTTTCGTAAACACTAACATGCAACTGTTTGTCTTTAGTAAACTTATTTATCTAATCGTGACAGGCCAAGTTTGACATCCACTTCAAACCCTCAACATTGAAACGTTTTCCTTTACTTGATTTGCAACTTCAATCTGCATCTTAGTTATTGTCTCGTCCAAAGTAACTATTTTATCAGCGATATTTTGAGACTTGGCTTCTTCCCGATAGATTTTGTCCTCAAGTTTGTCATTCCTGTTGGAAAATTTGAAAATTAGTAGAAGATACTATCAAGCAATTAATATGCAAATTTGATTATTTTTGAATAACAGATAATCTAGAAACTAACCCTTTTTCTGTTCCCAATCGAGCTCTTATTGTTTCAATGTTCTCATCAATCGCTTCCATCCGCCGGGTTAAGTCGTCTCGTTGTTTCTCCAAGTTCTTTAATATGATATAAATTCAAAAATATCGAATTTGGAGATAAGAACAGACTTACGGAAATTTTACTTTCTCGAGACTCATAATTCTGGGATGAATGTGAGTAACGGGTCCTTCGATTTCTTAGAAAATGTTCCACCTTAAATTTACGAAGATAATTTACTTTAGTGGATATTTTGGAGTATCCACTCCCCACTTGATAGCAGATAGCTCTCCTGGTTTTGAAGGGGGTACTACGTGTGAAATAATGCGACACCGCACTCACAAATTAACAATGCAATGTCAGCTTTTATTCACCACTTTTCTCCTTCTCGTACATATGTATTCTTGGGCAACGTCGCGTTGGCAGTTCTGACGTCATTTGGCTCCTCCCATCATATACGTATAATTTGAGTGTAGTACCACCACCACCACTCAATAATTTAATGTTCGGATTGAACACAGGCTGCTGCATCCTCCACATGCACATAACACTGCGGAATATATATGATCCATCTTTCTCCCCCATTCAACCATTACTGTAATCCTCCCGGCTAATAAGATTCATTCTGAGAGTCAAAACTCGAGTCACACTTTGTATTTTCACTGCATTTCCCTAAAATCGCCTCTGGCCAAGTTACATACATTAAGCAACACCCTTGTGTCATGTCAGTCAATAATTAACTCAATTCTTCAGATCGGAATATTGGATTTTGGCGTTCAAGTTTTACCTTCGTTATTTAAATCGTATAAAATTCTGCAATTAATTATGTTTTGTTTTTCATTCGAACGCAAAAAATGTAGTCACATAAATTGGAATATTCAGTTAAAAAGTTAGGAATCAACCAAAATTTAATATTGAAGAATTTGCTTCTATTTAAAATAATGAGTGTAAAACTTGCACGCCAAGATGCTACTTTCAGATCCGAAGAATTGATTTAATTCTTAAATGGTGGTGGTGGCACTACACTGCAATCATACGTACCTAGTAAGAGGGGCAAAATGACGTCAGAACTGCCAACGCGGCGTGGCCGGAGAATATGTATGTACTTTCTTACTACTACTTATTTCTGGTCGGACTCCGACTTATTACTTATTTTGCCCGAAATCTCGACTTATGCACTGGTCGAGTCCTCGCTGCAGAGTTCCGATCTGCCTCACTACCAGATGAAGTGCGTCAAACTGCTTACCTGACCGACTACATGGGGCGACGTGAAGGACGCACAACATTGCATGCAAAACTCTTTTATATTATGCAAAGGAATGCAATATTTATTTATATCTCTTCGTATGTAACTTACTGCAACAAAAGCTCCTACTTCTACCAACAAAGCTCCTAACGAGATTAATCCACTTGCTACTATTTGGGCCATGATTTTTTCCTAATCTAATTATTTGTTTTTGTTAAAATGCTGTGAATTATATAGAAATTGTATATATGAAATTGTGGGGTTTGAAGTGTGGCTGATTTGGAATGTGTGGAAATGTGTGGAAGATTTGCTTGAAAATTTTGCGAGCTAAGGATCTCAATGTTTTGCCTTTCCGTTTCGGGGGGAGAGTGAGCTGTGGAAGTATTACAAATACACAAGTAAACGTTGATAAGTTTAACGGACCAGTAAATACCCTCAAATTCGTACAAACAGTGAACTGTGGTGGTATCTTCGCATATTTATATATTTTTGTAAATTTCAGCATCTTTGTTTAGCATAGATTGCAGACTTATTTTTCAGAAAGTCGACTATACACCTATCATAAATTGTAAATATGTAAGGCGTATTTATTTAACGGCGATTTCGTGTTGAGGATTTCCTGGAAATTATCAAATCCAACCTGAATGTATAAATATTTACCAGTGATAAATCAGTGTCTTTACAATATTTGTGTGCAAGGCAAAAATAATTCGACGAGTTTCATGATAAGTCGATCGATCAGATTATGATGACCAATTTTGTTGATACAATCGCGTAGAAATGTAAATTCGCTCAGCTTCAAGTACATAATGGAGAGATGCACCATCATGTTTAAATATTGCTTATTCCATTGATTTGAGTATGTTATTAAATATTTATTGTGTTAAATTGTGTTAAATTGTGTTATTTAATATTGTGGAAATACATGTACGATTTGAAGAAAACTTATCCGAAATACACTTAAAATACTATCACCTTTGCACATTTGGCACATTTGTTGGCTAGTCACCCCTCCTTTTTGGCTAATCACCTCACTCTTGGCATACATCTCATTTTCAGCGATATAGTGTCTCAATCTTGACAAAGTGATTGCGTCGTAACAGACAAATGAGGTGAAGACTCCAAAAAATTCTGGAGTGGGTACCAGTCATAAACAATGAAATAAATAAAAATAAGTAACTATACTATAAAATATATGTAATTACTGGACATGCATATTTGAAATGCTGAGGTAGAATTTAATATCTGTGAGTTCATCCCTAGCCAATGGGCTTTACCCTGGTTTCATTGGGCTTTCATTCATATTTGGTAAAATAACACTTACAAGGGATACTACCGAGGTGTGAAACGGGTTAGGGGTCGACACCTATACCAAAATGAGCATAAGGCATGACTTTGGCGGTGAACTGAATGAATTTCTGGGTAAAATTATCTTTTCGTTAAGTTGTTACGACTTTTGCGAAGAGCGAGTGACGATGGAGTCCATCGAGTTACAAGTGGACTTTGCCTTCACTCTTCTTCCGCACAAATATAGTTCATCATGCGCTGGAGGTAAATAAGATATTTAGAAGAGCCTCTCTCTTTTTAGTAACTTCAAGTGCAATCAAATTTTAGAGGAAATGATTTCTGTTTGTTGAAATATTTTAATCCTGTAGAACTAGTAGAATTGTTTCACATACTTTTCTGCAGTTACAGATAAATATCGTGCACACGTACATAATTATAAAGTTAATTTTGATCTCAAAAATCTTAAAAACCGTGAAATCAATGAAAACAGTTACCCAAAATCTACTCTATCCTCCCAAACCATGGAATATGCCTACTCGAAACTTGTACATGTTCCACCAAAAACCTCATTTCACAATCCCCTCCCTGGAAAACACTCCCATTTCCCAGATGAAAACTACCACCGGTAAAATCAGAAAAATCCCACAAGTCGCAAAAGGCATTTTCATCACGTGCAAGCTAACCTCTTGCGCCTCTGCCCACACTGGTTTTTCTCGCCTCGAAGCAAGCATCAAACGCGCAAAATGGTTGACAGGCGGCTCATAATCACTAATTCCATCCAAAGCCTCCAGCTGGGCGCCCGCATCTGCCAAAATCCTCCATCTTTCATACAATCCGGACTCAACTAAGGCTCCCAACCCGTAGGAAAGTACGTCATAAAAGAAATTGGTGGTCGCAATCCACGGCACTCTAGCCACGAACGACGTCTCCTCCCTGCTCTTTATGACGACCGAGGTTTTAGAAAAGTACTTCATTGACTCAATAAACGAGTCGAGATCTCCAGCATTGTTTAAAATTACGAATCTTGACGGCATCCTGATACTCCGGTTACCACCCACCCGCACAGGTTTCCCCAGCGAAACGTTTCTCGCCAGTTCCGACTCGTCTCCTAATAACATTTGAAATCTGCCTTTAATTATCCTAAGCATACTCAAGTACTCATCGGTACTTGACGAGATGCTCAGGTTTTCTGGTAGCAAATCATTCATTATTCCAACCAGCGGGAATACCGTGAGTCTTCCGATTTCTTGTTTCGTGCTGGTCACTATTGCAAGGCCTTCTCCCACAATTTCCCTCAATGTTAAGGGTACGATCGGTATTGGGGACGTGGTAACATACGAGTACAACGCCCCCTTGTAGAACACTCCACAGAAGAAGGACAAACTCAGCCAGAGGGGAAATAAGACAGCTATTTTATTCCTTTGCCCTAAAATATTCAGCTCGATGGAGTCAGATTGTTCCAAAAATGCCGACGTGGCCCAAAACCAGTACATATCCTTTGTATTTTTGCCCCTAGAAAATGCGCCCAGTAACGTTGCGACACTGCATAAAACTGTGACGGCTAGAAACCAAGTGATCCCATCAAACGGCATGAATACCGCGGTCAGATCCATCTCACTCAAGTCTGTAACCACAGCGAATCGAAACGGTTCAATCTTAACCCCTTGAACGATCCACGCAAAAAAGCCAGAGCCTTCCCCCGCTATTAGTTTGTTTAACTCCCTTCCAGCCACAATGTGGCTGATCACGTTTCCATAAACAGCAGGGGAGAATGGGTTGGTAGTGAAGTTGAATTTCTGTGCAAGTAGTATTTTAACGCAGTTGTCGGGCTGAAGGTGTGCAAGGTTGTGGGTGCTCAATGAGGAACAAATTTCTTGATGACTTGGATCCATTTCTATATTAACCTGGTTCCCTTGAAGGTTCCTATTCTTTCGGAACCATTTTTTCCAAATGTCCGCTAAGGACATTGTGTCCTGGAAGTTAATTCGTTCTTGCATTCCGGAGCCCGACCCACATGCTAGACACGGCAGGAAACAGTGGTCACCCAGAGTTGGGGAAGACGAAAAAATCAGGAAGGTGGCCGTCATCCTGACGAACATGTCGTTCAGTGGGGGGAGCCTGTTATACTCGTCATATTGAAGCAGGACAAATCCCGGCGATGCCATTTTGCGGGAGCCGACAAGCATGATGTACGCCATGGTAAAACGGATTGGTTTGAAAGCCCATTGAGTGTAAAGGACAAGGGCGGTGCATGAATTATGTTTTGATGGGGAATTTCGCAACCCACGAACTGCGCTGTATTTCGGCGTGTTGCTTGCACCGAATACGTGATCTATTAATACCGCCTGTCCGATGGGTGGCTGTCCAATGGATGGATGGTCAACCTGCGGCTGAACGAATGACAGGAACGGGCGGAGATCTTTCTTAAAATCACTCAAAATTGAAAATGTGCATCCGTCAAAACTAGACGGCAGTTGGATTGCGTGTTGACTGAAGATGTAGGGTAATTGAAAGTTTGAAAAAACTGCAGCAAAAATTTTAATTTCTAATATTAAATTTGAATTGGTAGGCATTTTGGGAATAAAAGCTTAAACAAGAAAAGTGCAATATGTACGAAATTTTCATACAAAAGTGCAACTGAGTTTCATAAAATTAAATTATGCTCGTGAGGCGTAGTACAGAGTACAGTTGGTTTACTTATATTTGTAGTATGCAATTCCACTCGTATTAAACTTGAATGTGTATGCATTCAATAAGGAGGGCCAACTCTGAATGTCGTTATTCGTATGTACTAATATATTTATTTTGTTTACTTTGTTATATTTAACAATTCAGAATTTAAAGTACGTTATTGTTACGTACAAGTATTAGTATCCTATTAGTTTTGCCCTATATTGCATGTATACAATTCCGTGCTAAACTTTTCCTAATGAGCTTACATAACTGAATGAATTACAGGTAGTTTTATTCGTCTTTTCAAGTGCTTATTTTTGTTCGCATAAGTATCTTAGAGTTTTTTTCTAATTCCATAAGTATGTACACGTATGGCATGCTTTTTTAAACAAGTTTTAACTTTGCATGTGTTTCTTATAGCGAACTGGGACTTCTTTTAACGCACATACCATAGTGATCATTGATGCCTGCAGTTTTCATATAAACGTCGTTTATAAATACAATGTAATTTGCTTGTAACATACACTATATCAAATTCAAATTCGGAAAAACTGGTTTGGGATATATTCAGAACGTAAGATGATTCGAAGCTAATTTTTCTAGTATTTACACGCTACGTATTTGGATTAATGTTTGTAAAATTTCAGAAAAACAGGTTTCGTGGAACGAGCTACCAAAAATTTCAAACATTAACAAGATAGACTTTAATGCCAAATAATTATTCGGAAATCGCAGTTTTGCAATATTATTATTTAACATACTCAGGTTTTTTCAACAAATGATGGAATTTGTCTGTGGAATGACTCCACACCAAATATTTGAACAAAATTTTATGCGATTTCCGTAACTCGATTTACATCCCAACTTTTCGTTGTGACGAATTTGAGGCGCATCCAACATACCAGTCATAATCGACTCAATTTTCGTATCATAAGCTACATATGCATATATGTATGTGTGTAAGTGTATATCTACACACTTTCAAATTTTTCCGGCGTCTCTCCTCATTTGCATATTTTGACGCATTCGTGGGAGACATAGTGTTTACTAAACAGGGAAATCCCGTATCGCCGAATATGGGTATAGTGAGATTTATGCAAATGAGTAGACATGCCTACAAAATTCGGAGTATGTATAATGTGTAAACTAGGATAAGCGACATTAAATTATGTTACGAAAGTACGAAATTTGCATACTTTACATATTTACATAATTTGCTTCAGAAAAAATTTAAATATTCATATACACGTAACCAGTACTGCCAGGTATATACTTCACTTTTCACTTAGAGTGAACCCTATCTCTCTATGGTAACTATTAGCATTGGAGGATAGGCTTCACTCTAAGTGAAAAGTGAAGTATAAACCTGGCATACGTAACCATTAATACAGCACTTCAGCATTAATACATACATATGCTTGTCCCAAGTCTAGCATATTTATTCGAATTCATTATTGACGACTTGTTCTTCTACGAATTATTTATTGTACTTA